GGCGTGTGAGAGGCGAAGGGACCATTACAGGATTAAGCGGTCTTCCTTTCATGTAGGTCTGCCAAATTTAGGCCGTGGACCAGCTAGTACTTGGCTCTTCTCATTCTGAATGGCCCCTTAGTACGCCTATATCATTTCTAGCAACATGAGAGTTGTATATAATAATAGAGGTGAATTTCCAGTAATCTCTGAGACTCAGGGTGCATATCTCTGAGACTTAGGCTTCGTTCACATGTTATGTCTATTTTCTAAATTCTATTTTCTATTCGCGGTATGTAATTACTGGCAGCGCGAGCCAGTTACTATACTCGCGCTGCCAGTAACTTATAGTAACTGGCGCGCGCTGCCAGTAATTACGCCGCGGGATATTCAGGGCACAGACCGTGATCATAAGACATACCCCAAATAGAAAATAGAATTTAGAAAATAGACATTGCATGTGAATGAAGCCTTAGGGTGCACATCTCTGAGACTTTAGGGACTCAGGGTGCATATCTCTCGGACTTCAGGTACCTATCATCTGCCTTACAATAATGAGCAGTGCAGCAGTCTTGAAGGAAGTGGATGATCCACATGTAAATTATACAGGAAAACAATGATCCTGTTGTCATGTATATATGTTGGTAGAAACGATAATGTTTTCATAATTGCAAATGGTACAGCACTGATATAGCCAGAACAGGATATGGTTTCTCAGGAGGCCCATTAACCAAAAATCTTGTTTTATTATATGATATGGAACATATTGAACCAGGCTTCCAGACCTGTTTCATCAAGAAGTTCATCTGTAACATGAAGTTTGTATGGTGGAAAATCATGATTATTCTGTGTACAACAATGTACAAAGGTGTTTATGTTTTAAATGATTTATTGGTTGCCAGCGTAATGTTACAGTAGGCTATGACCTTCTAATTGTACAGTGAAACAAATAGTTTAATACATGAAGACTCATGAGGTTGAGAGCACATTGTTAGGATGTTTGTCAGTATTGTTCAGTGAAATGTGGCCAGATGTGGCCACACATGAAAATTAATCACCCCCTAGCTGTGCTTTCTGAGGTGTTTCTTTCAGTTGATCTGATTGTATTCAGAGAGAGGCCCTACAGAGTTAGATTGCATTCCCACAGTTTTTAGATCGATCTATCCCTGTGGGGATTCTCACTAGATTACTGTCAGCTTAGCCGGCTTAAATGTCTGTCCTGCCTACTAAAAGCTGTAAGGGGGTAATTAACTTCGGTGCACACTCGGCTGACAGCAATTTAGCGTGAACCCCCAGGGAGTTAGGTCCATCCAGATGGATCGACCTAAATCTGTTTGAATGCAGTCTAAGATTGATCTACCTAGAAAAACAGTTTTATTTTGATCGCACCCTATAAGAGCTGTAAAGCAATTTATTCTAGCTGGTCACTGACAAACAACAAAAGTAGCAAGGGCATGGTGAAATGTGGAAAGTGGCTTAATTAGTGCCAGCAGTCAACTTTTTTGTCTTTTCACTGCTGCGGAAATAAAAGATGAAGCACAAATGCATTTTTTTTGCTCATGGTGGAGGTTGCCCAGTGACAAAGATATGGTGTGATTTGTTTTATGTTACTTTTAAAGTATAGAGGTCAACAAACACATTTATGTGGCACACATTACGGCTGCCCTAAGATTACAGTAATCTGTACTACAATATTTTGATGTCTATGAAGTCACCTTCAAGGAATAGAGGTTATGGTTGTTATTGTAAGCTCTACCTGAAGTGTTTATATTGACCCCCCCTCTCCACCCACCCACCCACCCCCCTTCACCCACCCAGCCCCCCTCTCTCCAGCTGTTATATGCCTAGATATAAATACCCTCCCCAAACAAGGTGACTTGATTGAAATATATGAGAGCAAATAACTCTATCTTAGCTGTTATTTTTGTGGGTAACTATAAAAGTCACTGAGAACATAACACAGCTGATGAAACTGTCCGCTGGATACTATAGCCTATTGAAAATAGTGTAGCCTAATACNGTCATTTCGAGCAACATGAGAGTTATGTATATAATGATAGAGGTGAATTTCCAGTAATCTCTGAGACTCAGGGTGCATATCTCTGAGACTAAGGATGCATATCTCTGAGACTTGGGCTTCGTTCACTATACTCGCGCTGCCAGTAACTTATAGTAACTGGCTCGCGCTGCCAGTAATTACGCCGTGGGATATTCAGGGCACAGACCGTGATCATAAGACATACCGCGAATAGAAAATAGAATTTAGAAAATAGACATTGCATGTGAATGAAGCCTTAGGGTGCACATCTATGAGACTTTAGGGACTCAGGGTGCATATCTCTTGGACTTCAGGTACCTATCATCTGCCTTACAATAATGAGCAGTGCAGCAGTCTTGAAGGAAGTGGATGATCCACATGTAAATTATACAGGAAAACAATGATCCTGTTGTCATGTATATATGTTGGTAGAAACGATAATGTTTTCATAATTGCAAATGGTACAGCACTGATATAGCCAGAACAGGATATGGTTTCTCAGGAGGCCCATTTACCAAAAATCTTGTTTTATTATATGATATGGAGCATATTGAACCAGGCTTCCAGACCTGTTTCATCAAGAAGTTCATCTGTAACATGAAGTTTGTATGGTGGAAAATCATGATTATTCTGTGTACAACAATGTACAAAGGTGTTTATGTTTTAAATGATTTATTGTTAGCCAGCGTAATGTTACAGTAGGCTATGACCTTCTAATTGTACAGTGAAACAAATAGTTTAATACATGAAGACTCATGAGGTTGAGAGCACATTGTTAGGATGTTTGTCAGTATTGTTCAGTGAAATGTGGCCAGATGTGGCCACACATGAAAATTAATCACCCCCTAGCTGTGCTTTCTGAGGTGTTTCTTTCAGTTGATCTGATTGTATTCAGAGAGAGGCCCTACAGAGTTAGATTGCATTCCCACAGTTTTTAGATCGATCTATCCCCGTGGGGATTCTCACTAGATTACTGTCAGCTTAGCCGGCTTAAATGTCTGTCCTGCCTACTAAAAGCTGTAAGGGGGTAATTAACTTCGGTGCACACTCAGCTGACAGCAATTTAGTGTGAACCCCCAGGGAGTTAGGTCCATCCAGATGGATCGACCTAAATCTGTTTGAATGCAGTCTAAGATTGATCTACCTAGAAAAACAGTTTTATTTTGATCGCACCCTATAAGAGCTGTAAAGCAATTTATTCTAGCTGGTCACTGACAAACAACAAAAGTAGCAAGGGCATGGTGAAATGTGGAAAGTGGCTTAATTAGTGCCAGCAGTCAACTTTTTTGTCTTTTCACTGCTGCAGAAATAAAAGATGAAGCACAAATGCATTTTTTTTGCTCATGGTGGAGGTTACCCAGTGACAAAGATATGGTGTGATTTGTTTTATGTTACTGTCAAAGTATAGAGGTCAACAAACACATTTATGTACGTAGCACAAATTATGGTTGCACTAAGATTACAGTAATATGTACTACAATATTATGTTGCCTATCAAGTCACCTTTAAGGAATATGGATTATGGTTGTTATTATAAGCTCTACCTGAAGTGTTTATAGTGACCCCCCCTCCAAACACCCACCCCCCTTCACCCACCCACCCCCCTCTCTCCAGCTGTTATATGCCTAGATATAAATATCCTCCCCAAACAAGGTGACTTGATTGAAATATATGAGAGCAAATAACTCTATCTTAGCTGTTATTTTTGTGGGTAACTATAAAAGTCACTGAGAACATAACACAGCTGATGAAACTGTCCGCTGGATACTATAGCCTATTGAAAATAGTGTAGCCTAATACAATAGCTATTCACTGTTTCTGCCCCCTCCCCCATAAATCATTTAACTCAACCATGTACAGGTGTACAGGTAGTATCATAGAGACACCAGTTTTAGCAAAGGCTGACAGAAATTCGGCTTATGACCGACATTTTACAAGTAATAAATATGATATACATCTGCTTGAAAAAACTAAGTGATTTATTAGACAGGTCTGACCTGGAAGATACTGTGCTCACTGAACTAACTCATACCTGTGTAGCTTGTTTGTGGCATGTGGGATTAAAAGAAACGGTTTCTAATTGTAATTGAATGGTCTTCTACTTGACTCTGTTTATGGAAGCCCGATAAGAGCAACGTGTGCTTGCAATAGTTTGACGATTTGTACCATATATTGCAGAGTGTGTAATACGTGTTGCTGGTTCTTTGTTCTTGTGCATTCTTCTCTCTCTCTCTCAAATGGATATAGAGGATGAGTTTCATTTTGTCTTTTTCTGCCCATATTATAGTGACTTGAGAAGCAAATATATTAAAAAATACTACTGGCAGAAGCCCCCGGTTTTTAAATTAATACTGTTATTTGGAAGTCATAACCTAACAGAAAATAGAAATCTCGGGAAATTTTTATTAGAGGCCTGCAAGCGCAGGGAAATTACATGTTAAGAACTACATATATATATATATGAAAGATTTAAATATTACACTTGACATACTGGTATTGTATTATCTTCATTCTCATTTATTTATTTTATTGTGATTTACAATAATGCTGTTAATTGTTGTATCATACCCATGACAAGAATGTCATGGTAAATTACTACTACTACTACTACTATTCTCTCTCTCTCATTTTCTCTCTCTCTCTCCTAGTGTAAGTATTTATATCAGAGAAAATATGATACACATTCATGTGACCCACACACAAGCAAAAAGATTGAGGGAAAGAAGCAGTTGGATACCAGAATTATCTAGTAGTTAAAAATCACAACCAAAAGTTCAAAGCTAATAGCTGGATCAATGTCATTGATTATATAGGGTTCACAAGAGTGCATTGAATCTCATTTTTCATGTCATTTAACTTATCTATCAGTGTGTTATTGGGATGCATGGTAAATAAAATTGTACATAAAAAAACTTCAGTTATTTCTCATTATTGAACTCCAAGACAGTTTAACATGCATTGTTTTGGAATAAAAACTGTCTTTTTAAATTAGTTCTTAGTATTAATTAAGCTTAAACAAGTTTTGTGTATTTATGCTGAAAGATATATTGATCAGTGTCAGGTTTGATTGTTCTTGTGTAAACTGTATGTACAGAATAGAATGTAACAGTTCTGTTGTCAAAGAGGTTAAAAATGTAAGTGTCAAAATACCAAAGAAAAGAATATCAGTGAGGTAATAGTTTAATTTATTGAAAATGATTCCTGCAGGTGATACCACTGCAATAGCCATGTTAGGTATGGTATGTTATAGTACACAGTTAATTGTTTTGTCAGTTGTAATTTGGACTGTAAAGAAAAAAAAAGTCTTGTTATGTTTAGACCTGTGATAGAAGGAAGGCTTTGTCAGTATGTAAACAACCTAGTTTGTATGAAATCCAATCTCGGGTTACCAGATTGATTATTTTTTCCTGTGTGTTTTTTTCTTTTCACTTTGAATGATCTCGCTCCCCCCCCCTCCTCTCTCTCTCTATCTTCTCCCCCTATCCTCTCTCGCTCTCTCTAGATTTTGTACGAACACACACCTATACATGCTTTCACACATGCAAAACACAGACATTACGCCCTCTTACATTATGAAGTTTGACCCCAATAGGTCCTGTGAACCTAACATAACATATATAATAGGCATTACTTAATAATAAGGCACAATACAGTCCTTGCATAGCAAATTCAATGGCAAGTGCCACACATTGCATGCATAACAAGCACAAAGGTGGAGGGTGTATTGACAATAAGAATCAATGAAAATGTTTTAAGGTTTGTAAGCCAGGCAGCAATAATGCTTTGTGTCTAGAAAACTGCTGCCTGTTGGCTTTATAACAGTGTCAACAACTGCCAGTGATGGGCTGTAGGGCCATCAGCAGGGGTTGGGGGTCTGTTCAAACTGGGACAACTTTGAACTGGAAAGTGGGTAAACTTGCAGTGTGAGATAACTTACAATTAGCATGCTTTGGATAGCACACCTTCTATGGATGTGTAATTTCCCACAAGAAGAGGGTGGCTTACTTCAATAAATTTAGTCACTGGTTCTGGAACCAACTATGATGATAGAGGAGTATATTTGATTTCCAGTCTAAGATTGTTCTTGTGTAAACTGTATGTCATGATTTGCGGTATAGTTTTCAAAGGCCAACATGTTCTTGATATCTGAATAAGAGTTATTTTTGTCATCACAGCAAATACAGTTACTTTTAGTGGTGCCACAGAAAGTGTCTTTAAATTATTTCATATGTTTACAATATATTTCCTATTATTTTTGTTAAAGATAGCAACTTTTATCACACTGCCATTATGGTTTGTGGCAATAAAAACAGAAGGGGTTTGTAACTGATCCTTTGTTTCTTATACTAATAATAAAAATGATAATAATAAATGTTGAGCACTAGATGCAGGCTTACTGGAAATCATCAGAGATAACCTAAAACACTGATGTCAGCACAGTGTGATGTCATACATGACTGGAAAACTTGCGGGAGTCTGTGTGAAGTTTTTAGCAGCATGTACTTGGAATGGGGTCTTGAAAAGAAATGTGAAAGTGACATAAAAAGAAATGAGAAAATGACACCCAAAACCCAAATTATTGTACAATACACCACGGTACTAATTTGACAGAAGTTAAAAGAAAAAGCAAACAGAAACATTTGGATAAACTCTGTCAGCTCTTATACACACTGACTAGCCTGCCATTATTTCTGACTACACTCTCTTGCAAACCCCATGAGATCTTGCTTGATTATTTTGGAGACTTTGGGCCATCTTTGATGATGCTCATTAAATTTACAAAATCTCAATACATAAATTTCTTATAATTTATTAAGTGTCACCAGGATGGAAATGTTTCGTGTTAAAAGTTACTGTATCAGAGTGGAAAGATATGCATTACAATATGTCTATGTTTCTAACTGTTTGTTTGTCTACCTACCAACTACCTATATATATATGTGACATGTTTTGCAGCTTCCATTAAATGTGCTAAGAATCATTTGAGCTTACGTCTGTGGATTTGCATATCTAACTAAGTCTAATTTTAAGTGTAAGCTCATCAGAAAAAAGCATAAATCATAAAAAAGATAACGGTGTTCCTTCTGCCTTTGGTGTTACACTGAAATAAGGGTACTGTAAATGTGCAGTGATCATTAACTTAATCCATCTCTTACAATATTATATTTAAGTGTGGGCATGCTTAATATTTTTATGAATGAATTTTATGAATGAATTGTATGCAAATAATATGATTTATGTGAAACAGTTTGTAGGATGGTTATGGCTTGATGTAATTACTCATTTCTTTGATGAAAATTATAATTTATATATATGTAGATACAATTGTGAATTTTACCCCTTATATTCAAATACAAAGAAATTTTCCCTTCATACCTCCAAGGTTTGCATAGAGTAAACAATATATTATTTTTCAAACAATTTATTTCATTTTCTCTTTGTCTAATTTATCAATTATACTGGCATTATTTAGTTATTTTATCAATTTGATTTTGATCCCAGTGACACTGAACAAACAATCCAGTGAAGTTAGCTGCTGGATGTGGGCTATTCATACATTCTATTATTATTACTACTACTACTACTGAAGTGCACCTGTGTTTGCTTATTACTGTCTTACACAGAGATACTCGGATAGGGTTGCTAACATTTTGGTATTCTTTGCTGCTGAATACTTATTGTTTACAAAAAACTAATATGAAAGTTCACTGATCTTTATTACACACACTCAGACATGCATGCAGACATGCACGTGCACGCACACACTCACGTGTACACACACACACACACGTGTACACACACACCTCACCCTGTATATATCTGGAAGTGACATATTCCATAGACAGAAAATATAAATAACACTGTGCCAGGAGTATCATGCCCTGTGAAAACACATCACCAGGTGTAGGTTCTTATCCCGAAAAAAAGCTCTTTTAGCCCGTAAGCTAAGCTCCTAATATCACAGGTAATGGGAAATGATCTTTAAAGAAATCTCTTTGTTGTTGTCGACATTATAGGCCATCTTGGTTACATGCAGGTGAGCACAAGTTAACAGCAGTGCCTACTTGAGACTTTAATGAGTTTGGGAGAATTTATCATTATGGTTATTGTTGAAAGGGGAACATTGTTTTTTAAGTTGTGTGTTTAAGCAAATTATCCTTTGATTTATTCAAGGCTGGAGGTAGATTTGATTGTCAATAGTTACGCAGAAGTGGTTGACTGGTGGAAATTCTGATGACTGTGGCATTTGGTCAGTAGCTAATGTGAACTAAATTAAAGTAGCTGTTCTTACAAAGGTTTTAAAAGTGTGAAGAATATGGAGGATCACAAATAAGATGTTTGTGATAGAAATATGCCAGAGGTTGATACTGATTGTCCTTTGTTTTATAATGCATTCACACTAGTTATTTAGAAATTGGTGTTGAGTAGAGATTGTAAATATACTTGAACATACATTAAGTGTTCTCTCTCTCTCTCTCTCTCTCTCTCTCTTACACACACACACACACACACACACACACACACACACACACACACACACCAGATATATAAGTAGATAGTGCCCAAAAAGTGTCCCCACTCCTTGACTGTCCATTATATTATATCTTAACTATTATATATTTTAAAAGCATTTAATTTCTTTTATGCCATGGTATTATGACATAATTCTGAAGAACAAGATTTTCTTTTTAATTAACTTAGTAGACTTGTAACTATGGAAAAAAAACATCTAAGTTAAAGCAAATTGTATAAGTAATGGGCAGTCAAAAAGAGGAATGAGAGTAGATTTTGGGACACCCTGTATTTATGGAGATGTGAATGCCAGACTGAAGAGAAAATATTGATTGGCAATAGAGAAGCAACAGATTTGACTTTCATTCTATCAGAATAACATAATATGTGAAGCTTACCAGCATATTCAACAAAGTAGCCTATACTTATAGTATACCCTATATAACCGATTAAAAAGGACTCGCAGTGAAAGCGCTAACATGGAGTTATTAACATACAATGTAATGTAATTAGGCAGTTTAGAAATAATGAGAATGAGTCTTCAGTGGCACACTAGCAGGCTTCCCAACAGTGCAGTACTCAAAACGTGTAGGTCTATTGTTGAACATGTCATTAACAATAGCTTGGCACCTGAAAACAGGAAATTGATACTAGATAATTGATGGTATACATGTTAATATGTACAGGTAGCAACACTAAGCTCACCTGCTTCATTTTCTCAGGAAGCCTTATACCTGACTGCATACATTTTGTTTTCAATTTATTTTTTTTATTTCATATTTTTATTTTAGTGCTGTTTTTATTAAAAAGTATTTACTTTAAATCAAATTAGGTGGATATAATTTTATTTTTTAGCGCTGGACCCAAGGGAGACAACTTATTTGAGTGGGCATCGACTATTCTTGGTCCACCAGGGTCAAACTACGAAGGGGGTGTGTTTTTTCTGGACATTGCTTTTGCACAGGACTACCCATTCAAGCCTCCCAAGGTATGGTACAGCTAAATATTAGACTGATGTGAATTCATCTTTTCAGGTAGACTTATTAATAGCAAGGTTAAACTTGGTCAAGTTAAGTATACAAAGTTTAGCTTTAAATAGTTATTGATGATCTGAGATGTATTGACACTTGTCATGTTTTTTCTTTCAGTGTACTTTTTAATTGATTTACATATTTATTGATGGATTAACTGCAATATTGCAAAATTTTGCATTTTTTCTAAGGATGAATAATGATTTTTTTTATATTGTCTGAGTATATATCAGGCTCACACTGCTCAAAGTGCAAATTAAAACATGAGTTTCAGATAAATAGTGTAACTGACTCGATATGATAAGCATGTTGCTTTTATGGCATCATGGTCACATAGAAAAACATGCAAAAACATTGTAAGGCTGGAAGGGGAGTACAATAAAGATCAGCAGTATTGAAAATTGAATGTTTGTTAGCTGTGGGGTGTTTTTTGTGTCTTAGTGGCATTTATAGCCTGCTATCTTCTACAGCCTTTAATAGTTTTCTTAAGACCTAAGCTCATGGGAAATTTTGATTGTGGTTCATGTTTGTGGAGACATGTATTGTGAAGGTCAGAGTTAGCTGAAACTGAGGCCGAAGGCAGTGCATGATGTCACCTCAGCCAAAAAAAGTGCCATATTCTATGAGCTATGGTATTTTTTTTATAAGGGTGAAACTTTTGGGCCTATGGATCTTGTCTAAGATGGTAATATTAAGGTGACACTCAAAATATGGTAATAGGCACTGTTGTGCGTAAGACTATAATTTAGCAGGGCTTAAGAAAAAAATACAGAAAACTAATATGATTTATTGTTGAAAGTATTTCGGAAGCCTTAACTCTGAGGGGTTTTTTTTAACTGGATGCCTAGTTAATATTGATTAACTTCTTTTCTACATATCTATATTTATGAAGTATGAACTTAATTCAGTCATATTAATTACCCAATCATGTGGTTTACCAGTCCCATGTTTCATTACTTCCTGACATGCCCTTGTATAATAGATCCACAAATTCTAGATAACTAAACAAGAGTTTGTGGTTGGCATGGTAAACTTCAACCAAACCCACTGCTGAAGGTCAGAGTTCAATAAACATGTTCATTTGAAGATTTAAAAAGTGAAGAAGCCAGTATGAATAAGATCTTAACTTCAAGACCAAGTCCAATTCAAAAATAAGCAGTAATAATCACATATGTATTATCTCAACTGGATGCTTAATGGTCTTAATAATAATCTTTTCTGTCACTTCCCTTAGGTGACATTTCGTACCCGTATCTACCACTGCAATATCAACAGCCAGGGTGTGATCTGCCTGGACATCTTGAAGGACAACTGGAGCCCAGCGCTGACCATCAGTAAAGTGCTGCTCTCTATATGTTCCCTGTTGAGTGACTGTAATCCCTCAGACCCTCTAGTGGGCACCATAGCCACCCAGTACATGCAGAACCGTGCCGAGCACGACAGGATAGCAAAGTTGTGGACACGCCGGTTTGCGACGGGACTCCAGAATGGAGTGTAGTGTGCAATTCGTGGTGCGTGGGAGGATCTCACAGGCCAATGGACAAGCTGTCAAATACAGGAGAAACAAGAGAAGTGCTGTATTCGTTTAGAATGTAGGGGCACATTAAGTGGGGGGAGGGGAGGGGATGGGGGGGGGGGGGAAGAGCAGCATTCAGGAAATACTTGCCAGGGATGTGAATATTGAAATTCTTTCTTGAGCTGAATGCTGCTGGTATTGTTGGTAGGGGGGGAGGGGGTTGTAATATGCCAAAATGTTGGCTAATTTTTGAGGCAGATGAATTTTTGTGCCACATAATAAAATACAAAGAGACTTCATTTGACCTTTTGCTTTAATTTCAATTTTGGTAACTGGGACAGGCCTTTTATGTGCAACATGTGATGATAATAACAAAGAAAAGTTCTGATTGAATCAGCAACTTTGTTCCTGCATTTCTCCTGTTAGTGTCTGAAAGCAAGTTGAAGAAATGCTGAATCCAAACAAGTATGGAGAACATTCAAATACCCTTATGTGTGCATGTATCATGACATCTATATATTATAAGTACAGGCACTTAATTCTGTGGATAGAGGCAAAACAACTAAAGTGGATCTCCTCAGCTATTTGGTTGTTTTTATCATCAATATTGTTTCAGTCTTTGTGTTTTATTTTTAATGTTTGGGAGTAAGATGGATTAAAAAGGTTTTTTATGGTGCATGCCTGAGTTGGAGAGCACTGTATATATATATACATACATACCTGCCATCATGCAGCTTATAGCAACTGTAGAACATTCTCACAGGCCATTGAACTTTCAAATGTATCAGAGTTTGTTTGAAAAAAAAAACAGAGTAATTAAGGCATGATGATTTTAAACAGGGTGCTTCAGGGACTTTCAAATTTGTTGTATCAATAAAGACAAAATGGTGTGGATAGGGAAATGCAAATAAATTTCAATGGTAATTAAAGCACAGTTGACTGAAGAACAAACAACTTGAAAACTTCAATAGTTTATTTGTAGCTGTGTTAGTAGGACAAAGATCAAAAATGTTTTTGTCTTATTATCAGAAAATTGTGGGCAAATTTGAATTTTTTGCACATAGTTGAAGAAAAAAACCTTTGCCATTGGTTTCCTTGTATTCAGCTAAAAATGTAAAACATTTTCCTTTATGAGATTTTTAAAATTTTTTATGCATCATATTCTTTTTCTGATATGGATAATAATGTATTGCTTTATGTATATGTTAATTCAGCCGGAGACTTACTGAAATTGATTTCACCAGATTAGTAATCTATCAGTTTACCTTTCCAACAATTTAAGCCTTTTAAAGAGTCCTCTGTAGTAGAATTATGTGGACAATTATAGTTGATTCAATGGAGTACATCTATGGTAATAGTTGTCTTTAGCAAGTTCCCAATGTGGATGGAGGCTAAAACAGTTATATAGAGTCCTGGTACGAGGGTTGATTGATAAGTAGTGAGCCTCGTGTGGAAGGGGTTAAGCAGGGATATCCCTTTTCAGCCCTTCTATTCCCTGACTATTTAAAGGTGTGTAGCCGAAGTTTGGTGTCATTTGGTTAGTTTATGTTGACGAGGTAGCACTCTCAAATAAGCAAGGCAAGTGACTTTTGCAAAATGCCCCTGCTCACAAGTCTGTCATTGCCATGGCTGCAATCAACGAGTGTGGCTTTGAACTGATAGAACATTAACCTTATTTGCCTGATCTTGCTCCCTCTGACTATTATCTATTTCCCAAATTGAAAAAGGCCATTTCAGGTACTCACTTTGTGTCAGATGATGACGTCATACGTGAAGTGGAGGGGTTTCTGAACGGCCAAGAGAAGGGCTTCTTGAAAAGTGGCATAGAGGCTCTCAAAACTCGCTGGCAAAAGTGTATAGATACTCAAGGAGACTGTTGAAAAATAAAGAAAAATACTTGTAAAATGTGTACCCCTTCTATATGAGGCTCACTACTTATCAATCAACCCTCGTACAGTGTAGTAGATTTTGGTTACACTATTCTGAAGGTGGTCAGTATGATTGACTGACCAAGAGACCATTCCCAGACCCTATCGTACTAACTTAGGATCGAACTATCTCCAAGGGCATTCTCGCTAAAGTGAAATTAACTTGGGAGGTTTAGATGTCTGTCACGCCTGCTGAGGCTGATAGGGGGTAATTAACTATAGTTTATAATATAGCAGCTTTAGTTAGTATCCCAGACGTCTAAGCCCATGGGCTGAAAGCAATTTAGCAAGGGACCCCATGGAGATGGACCGATCCTGTTAGATCAGTCTAGGGATGGGAACCCAGTCCAATAGTTAATTAAAGGCTAACACATGCTCCTGAGGGTGAACCTTCATACAAAGCACATATGAAGTACTCACTTCCTGAAATGCAGTATTGCATCAATATTTCAGTTCAACAAGAGTCTCTGTCTGAATGTGGCATTAATTGTGGCCATTAATTGATACCTAGATACAAAAGCAGTCGCATTTAACTAGTCATGATACGTTGACGCAGCATGCCAAAACTACTTACTGGCAGCATCTGGTCAATAATTTCAGTTTAATAACCAGATCTGCAGAATCAGTTATAGATTGACACTTTACATTCTGAAATATCTTGATCTCTTTGTATAAAAAATATGGTTTGGATGAAATAAGATCAAGATCAATATCTTCTTTAGTGATTGAAGGAGATTGTGTACAGTGTGTATCTTGAAATATCCCATTTGAGAGTGTTGCAGCTCTTGATTGACATGGCTGGCACTCCTTTTACAAATTGATTGGAGCTTTTTTCACAGATATGGAACTGTCTAAAACTGTCATGGAATTGATAGGTATTCATATGGCAAATAAAGCCAAGTCTTGCTGTAGCCATGCCTTGAAGGTTATATGGAATGTTGGAGATGCCCTTATGGGAACACAAAGTGCATTTTTTAAATAAAAATAGCATGCTCTCTGTATAGTGGTAAAAATTGCATGTAAGCAATTGCATGTAAGCTTCATTTAAGAACCAAGTTGTTAATTATTATTCCTTTTACAATACAACAGCGATATAAATTGGATGTTTGAGCGCATTTGTTCCTTATGTTTTTTTGTCAGTCTTTAAGAAGTATATTTCTTCACTGGTCATAAAGCCTGGTAATTAAAGCTGTCAAATCAAAGTTTGTTGGAAAGAACTGAAAGCTAGATTGTCAGCCATATGAGTATACTATCTCTGTGGACATCTCCAGATACAACTACTACCACAAAACAATCTAGTAGTGACAGTGCTGCCATCTATCAGTCAAATCTGAGGAAGATCTCCAACCATGGAGATTGTAATCTAGCCATATATTGAAATGGCAGGGAAAGGCAATTTTTGTTACGATTGTATAATACATGTTTTGTTGCTTTTGTAAAATGTACAATTTTAGTTTGTGAAGTAATAAAAGTGATTATTATAATAAGCGCAAATGTTAGGGTTCTTAATGAAGTGTTTTTCAAATAAAAAACAATATAACAGCTTCAATTTTTTCATGATAGCATATTGCAAACCAAATTTTTAATTTTTTAACCATTTTTTTTTCTCAGCCAGAGAGTATGGGCATTCTTCAAATATTTTCTTCATTTACACTGGCAGATTCAGAACATGGAGAAGGGAGAGGACAACAAAACATTAACGAAATTGGAATGTTTGTGACCTATCCTGAAAATTAATTCATAAATTATTCTCAAAAGTCGAATACAAATCACAATAATTGTGCTCTTATAGAAATTTTGGCATACATAGACAGTTGAGAATGAAATGGCACGCATCAGCTATGTAACTCAGATAATAAAGTCAATATTGAAAAGACCTACCTGTAATGTGAAAGCACCACAAAAAAACGTAAGCAGTATTCTACTGGAGTCTGATTATAGATTATATGCAAAGAATTTGTATTTACAAAATGGACATAGCTAGGTTTACAGTTTCTGGCTCTCCAAATCATCACAACCCGTCCAGTGCTTTAGCCTGTAACTATAGCAACAAGTGTTTGGAAGAAAAAAATGTATCGATCACCCTTGGGATCTAATGACCTAGTTGACTAGCATAAGAATTACAGTTATGAACATGGATTTAAAAAAAACAACACTGAAGTCTTATATTTTAAAGAACGTTTTCTTTTTCATTCTTTTTATTTCTTGTAACGAAACATACTGGCATTGTGTCATAAATATAACAAGGTATAATTATGATATAGGTCTAGCTTCCACATGGGTGTATCCTGACAGTGTTAGGGTCCCTAGCCCAGGGCTTGGTTGTGTTAAATTTTCACAATGAAAGTTGATTTGAAAATTCCCTAGCCAGAAGCAATATTACTACAAGTTCCAAAGCAAGACTACATTTGCCATGAGTCCCACAAGATGAAATTGTATGAACAGTAGGTTCAACCATTCATGTTCACCACATGTCCACAGAACAATGCCCGTTCAGGCATCTCATGGCAAAAATATCCTAGGTTTGAGGGACAAAGTCATTTTTATTTGTTTTAACACTGTAGGTGGAAATGGCTCTTTTTCTCTAAACTAGACTAGACTTTTAAGATGCCCCTCACAAACAAATTTAGGACCAGAGCAGCCAGATGAATTTTTAATTGCAGACACATGAGAAAACAATGTTGAATCACTGAACAGTTAACTATTCATGCAGCTAAAGCACATGATAGCAGCATTACACCAATTCTACACTCAAATCAACACAAAAATAACACTAGTGCTGCACCTTACAAGTTTACCAGTTACAGACTTGTGCGCAACAACATGCAAAAAGCAGTTTTAATATGACATACATAAAAAACAGTATATGTACTACAAAAAATGCTCTGATGCTATATCAAAATAGTACATTTTGTAAGACAAATAATTCCACTTTATTAATTTTGCAATTCTTCTTAAATGTGAATGAAAGCCAGCAAAACCAATGATTAAAGAAACATATCAATGGCCATTAAAATTTATGACCACAACTTAACTTGTGTATAGATTTAACAGTTCAAAAAGTTAGTCTTCACATTAAAAATATGAAAATATCACTGGGAACATAATGCATGCAATTAATGTGTCTTCTAGGAGACATATTATAACAATTAGATGTAAATATTTCAAATAAATGTATCATTATCCATACATCATTTAAGACTGAGACAGCAAGAATGTTAAAAAATTACACTTCTGCAGCAAAACTTACAGTGATGAATTGATCTTTTTAATTGGGAAATTGTGAATTTTAGAGATACCATTTTTTTAGTAATAAATTATTGAAAGTGGTTGTAACAAAACTGAAAAGGGGCTAACTTTAAGTTCTATTGTAAATAATAGAAATACCACAAATGCCTCAAAAAAACATTCTCAATGATTTCAAAATAATGTTTATGAAAGATAAAAATTTTCCCCATTGAAAAGATCGAGCCATAACCATATATTTCTTTTTAAGCCAAACTACACAACAAACTAAATTAAAACTTATGCCAATCATTTGCTGATAATAATTTTGGAATGCTAATGGGAGATTCAGTCCCCGTTTAACTAAAACACCACAGTGTCACACTAACTTCAGTGCCCCTTTAACTAAAACTATCGTTTAAAGGGTCATTCCCAATGAAAGGATCATTCTACGTAGATCATTCCAACTCCACAGGAACTCTTGCAGAATGCAATCAGATTATTCCAATGTACTCGTATAATCACTCACTTTTTCTGTATTCTACACAATGCCAGGGGAGGCTGTCAATCTGATTGCATTTAGCGAGGAGTCCCCAAGCTGTCAGACAGGTCTTCATAGAACAACAGTTTCACTGAGAGTGAGCTCCTAACTCCAGCCATAGACAACTTTATAGAGAAGCTTAGGCATGTTTCACTAAACAACTTTGGACCCAAAGTTACTAAGACCAAAAACATTCAAGTTTATCAAGTTAAAGGAGTAGTAGTCCAATTAGGTGATAAATGCACGTTTCATGTGAGAAAGAAATAAATTGTCAATATTTTGTCCGGCACAGTGTACAGTTACAATATTTTAGGTGGGCTACTAGAGCTGCTAGGGGGTAATTAATTATCGTTTAGCAGCTTCAGCAGGAGTGCCAGACATCTAAGCTGCTTAAGATGAAAACAATTTAGCGAGAAACCCCTCGGAGATAGATCGATCCTGTTAGATTGACCTATATATGGAAACCCAGTCCAATTTTTCTGTCTTAAGTCAACTAATTGGCCTTTAGTTCCTTTGTAAAACTACCTAAATAAAGTAATTTTTCTTCAGTCAACAGCTGGTTCATCTCTCACAGCCTTTGGAGAAATCATTCCAGGATGTCCAGTTTATCTCTCCACAAACTAAATCGGACTGTCCTCTTAATACCTTGCTTTCTCAAAAAAATCATGATTTTTTTTCATGCATTACTATCATCATGTGCACATTTACCTTACATCTTACATAGAGTTTCTCTAATCTCATTCAAAATTAAACACTGAACACATGAATTAATCAACTTTTTATCTACAGCAGAGTAAAAAGTCAATTGCAAATAAATATATTCAGACAGAATTGTATTTTGGCAATTAAGGGTTCGTTTCATAAGGTTGTTTCTCCTGTAAATTGCTACAAGACCTGTAATTGCTACACAGGTAAGGGATATCAACTTAACAACCTGAGAGTATTCAACGGGTTCTGCCCCCGAGCTGTAATGGCTGGTATCTCCTTTTTAAATTTAGGGATTGAATTTCTCAGTGGTCCTAAAATTTCTAAGGATGAGAACACAATTTCTCCATGATTTAACATCTATTGTTAACTGGATGCCGATGCATTTTGATTATTTCTTTTCAGCGGTTGTATACCACGTGTATAGAATATAATTGTATCTCTTTATTTTTAAGAACATCATACAAATCTTCAGAGACAAATCACTGATTAGTTAATAAACTGAATCAGCACACCCTAAATAATATCTTTAATACAATATATTGCAATCTACCAAAATATCAACAATATTCCAATAAACATAAATATATTAATGTTAATATCTTATTACCATAATGAAAAATTCATGGTTAAATTTTTGGGGCATGAAAATTACCTTAATATGTCAAAATGCAAAACATTATTTGATTGCAGCTCTTGGCCTCTCATTATGCCTAGTTAATCCAACATGAACATAGTATCTTCTTTAACATCAACAGCTTTAGGATACTGACAGTAACAACCTCTACCTGGCATATTACCTACAGTGCTTGCTACTAGAAACCAAAGAGGTTCACTGATGATGCAGGCAATTTGCCAGTTAACTTTGAAACCCAAGGTGTTTTCAGGGATTAAATGCCACAAGTGACAATGTGTGCACAATTGCTGACCCTATATTTTTGTACCAAGCAGCTGACCATTTTTCTGGCATTTCAAAAAAATCTCTCTTTTCACCTTTAATTCATCTCCTACTGAATGTGTGGTTAACCGTCGGCTGCTCGGGGCACTCCTATACCAGTACATCATGAAATGTTCCAATGTAGTTCCCTTTTTTCACATTCATCCATAAAGGGAAAATAAAATCATTCAACAAACTTTAGAAATTAGATTCATAAATTTGTTATCTGCAAATATTGGAAAGGTTCTCAAAATGCAATATTTCACTGCTTAGAGTAAAAAAAAAAAAAAAAGTTACTTGGCCAGTAATTCCTCCAAATAAAATCACTCTTCGTGATTGGCAAGAGAATGCCGTTCACATCTGTGTCACCATATGATTGTCTTTTACTAATAAATTAGTGCTCTCATTGGCAGAATTACTCTCAGTGCTTGATCCATAGGTACCATTCTGGTCTGTCTTGCTTGTGATCCCTCTGGTGGCTGATTCACCAACTTCGACCGCAGCAGCATATTTACCAGTGAACAATGACGCTATTTCATCAAATGTCTTGTTTTTAGTTTCTGGCAGGAATTTCCACAGGAAAATGGTACAAAGCAGCAGTAGCCCACTGAAGGGAAGGAAGCTGTAGACCCCCAGCGCTTTCTGGAAGAGAGGCAGGAGATAGAGGGTGCTAGTATCTACAAGCAAGTGATATGAATTGTAAGAATCTACGCTAAAACTATCACACATTGCATATATGGTTGGGGAAAATCACTGGAATTTATTTCTGGAGTGCATTTAAACTACATCAAATCTGGCCATATTTGATAGACATTCTGCCACTCATCATTTATTGGCCAAAGACATGTATATATGTATTGGTACAAATTAGATACACCACGAGTCAGCGGGATGTATGTGATATACACAGGAGTTTGAAGTAAGGGTGAATCTCACATATGATTTGTTGACTCGAGGTGTGTCTCACTAATTCTATGGTGTAGGTGGTGAAGTAAGGTCCCAGGTGTGCACAACTGGCAATCAGATACATATAACCTGTTCAGTCTGGGACATTATAGTCACTGGTCTGAAACCGCAGCCAGTAAAATTTTGTTAAGACCAGTAGACATTTCAGAATGAGTGAATTTAGTGGTCTGACATGGCCAATAGATTTTTTTCTATAAGCTTTTTTAAAGATCTTTTGGTTTGATTGAATTTTTTCTGAAATGTAACTGCAAAATGATTATAAATAAAAAAAAAACTTTGACAAAATCAAGGTCTTGCTATTACTTTTTTTAAGCAATAGGGGAAAATCTCCAGCCTAGCTGAAATTTTTATTGGGACTAGTAGATTTTAGGAAAGTGGTGTTTGAAAAGTTTATAACACGGACAGCCGATTTATGCCAGACACATGCAAAACATCCACCTTAGTTCAATTGAATAAATGAATAGAAATTATCCATGATAGCTTTAAATGGGACAGCCAGTGCTGTGTGATATCATACTTCGTCAGGGGCGGATTAGGGCCATCTTATGGTTCTTCTGGAAGACGGTCAGATTTTCAAGTTTACATTCACTGGTATACCTAATTCTTTTTCTGTCAGTAGTCGATCAAAAATGGAGGATAGATCAACAATTTGGAAGACTGTCAGAAAATATCTCTGGATCCGCCCCTGTTTGTGGATATCTGTGCTCTTGGGGAGATATTTAGTTATCTTCGGTTACCCACAGAATTCTGACTTGGACCTAATTACATAATCAACCATAATTTAGGAAAATTACACCTAAATGAACCTTTTTGAAAGAAGGAAATTATAAAGTGTTCTATTCTAGCACAAACAAATCACCAGTAAAAACCACAGGTTGTAAAGAAAGCAAAGAAGCACATTTCTGGCAGGAAAAAATTGAAGCTGGCACAGAAAATAGACATTTTAACACAAACGGAGACATTTCAGTAAATAATTTCTTTTGTAAAAATAATCTGATAATGTCGATTATCAAAGCAAACCTTCCTTTTTCATCAAGCAAAGCCTCTAAAAATTGAATACAAAATTAATATAGTTTGGCACTTAGGGACAAAAATCCCCAAATACATGCAAATTAATAAAAAAAACAATACCTTTGGCAAAAATGATCCTTAGCTGATTTTTGGAAGGAACACGTCTTTTTACCAAATCAAGCCATCAGCACATATATATGAGGCAAACATGAGTAAAACACATGCAAAAATGAATAAATAATGAAAATCTGATCAAGTCTGATCATGCTGATTTTTGAAAGAAACCTGCTTTTTTACCAATCAAAGCCACTCAAAGTAAAAAAAAAAATGGTTTGGCAGCTTTAGTGAGCACATCAGATGTGTCGGACAGAGACGACGCAGACAGCCAGTGTTCAGAATATATACAGACACATACAGTGTCTGTACATAAAAAGAATTTGCATTTGAACCAGGAGTGAAGAAAAGCTAAAGCATAAGCTTGGGTTTTAGCACTAGCATTAATGTTTCACACTGTATCACTTCCAAGTAGACATTTATGTCATATACAGCACTACTTGCGTTCAGAGATTTTTCTGTATACTTTATAGGAAAAGGGGTCCCAATGAGTGTTTTCATTACCTGTGAAAGATTTTTTCCTGACATGCATGAAATGTTCATATTTTTAGTATAATCTGTGAAAAACCCATTCCTGCAACTTGTGAATGCAGCTTTTTAATTCTTTATCATTAGTAAAATGTTATTACACTCACTGACTTGTGATTTCCAACTTGTGTTTCCTACATTTTCAGTGAGATATGAATCAAGTTTTATTTACTGTGATGTGATTTTATTTCCCGAGAACTGTGATCACTACCCCCCAATGGGACTCTCATGACATCCTACATTAATTCTTTCAATACTGAAAATAAAACAGTGAGCAGACACCTTGTTCAATGTCTTTATTTCATATCAAAAGGAACATTTATTGACAGATAAAAGTATGCCTAAGATTAAGAACTTTAAAAATTGCTAAATATTCAAATCTCTTGGTGTTTCATAAATAAAGATTTGTAAGATTTTTTTTTTCAAAATTAGGGTTGATCAAAATCAACCTTCATTTCATATCAAAATTTATCATATAATAAAGTCAAAGATTCAAGCACTTAAAAATTGCTAAATATCCAAATGGTTTATGAATGATTGGCATTTTTTCATAGTTATGGATGGTCAAAATCAATATACAACAACAAGAAAAAATCCATGAGTAATTTCAAAACTATAAAAATGATCACTCTTCCTACCCTAAAATGTATCTTATTTTTGGTATTCTTATAAACAAAAACTTTCAAAACCTCAGTTACAGCAGACTCACCAATATTTTGGTCGTGAAATAAAAGTTGTGAAAAAACTGATTTGAATTTTTTGTCATAAATGAAACTGAATGTGTACATTAAGTTATAAATATTAACAGCTTATAATACATTAAAAAAAGCAAATCCTATTTTGATTACACAACTTAAATATACATAGAAAAAAAGGTTTGCTACTTAGGACATTGTCATAAGTATACCAATATTTTTTGTGCGTTAGCAATATCTGATAAATGAACACATTTAGACAAGTTTAGACAAGTTAACACAACACTGCTGTATAGTAAGTATAAACAGACTGTTAGAAGGAGTATTTGGATTAGTTACTGGGGGGGGGGGGGGGCTATTTCAGGACAGCACAATTAAGGTGTAAATTGTCTGCACTGTAGGTTGTTAATGAACTGACCATTGTTAAACAATGCTCTTCTTACCTAGCAACACCTTGTTATAGAAGAGTTCATTAAATCTTCATCACAAATACAAAGGTGGATTTTGTCCAAACATCAGTATCAATGACATTCATTATCAAACAATGAACTTATGGAACCGACCCCTGATTGTTGTTTTACACAACTTGGGGGTGCTTGACAGTCCAAATATCTCCTCTCAGAACTAAATTAGAATTTTACAAGATCTTTATGACTTTATCACAAATGTCACAGTTTTGCCAGATTTCAAACTGAAATATCTTTAGCCTCAAATATGAATAAAATTATCAAAATTTCAAACCCTGTATTGTTTTTTTTTTTTTAAACATTGCAAGCTTCTGTTACCCTGGTCACTGCTGTAAAAGATGACTTCATACTAAAAAAAGTCTAGAAAACCCCTGCTTATAAGCTCAATGTTATTTCTTTTCGTAAAACAAAATGATTTAATATCCACATCATACTAGTCATATTAGTAATATCACACAAACAATGAAGAGAGAATTAATACAGTTTAACATATCATGTTAGCCAATCTATACACAAAGTCCTAAAGTCTGACACTTTCAATCTTCTCACCCTTTCTAAAAATTGAGCTTATCTCTTCAAATGTTTTGTTTTTAGTTTCCGGAAGCAAGCGAAACAAGATAAAGAAACATATAATCAATAAGCCGGTAAAAGGAAGAAAGGAATAAACGCCCAAGGCACCCTGGAAAATGGAAGGAAAAAAAAGGAAAAAATATAAATAAAATAGTAAATGAAGATGGAAATGAACAAACTTAAAAATAGGCAAAGTTTTCAAATATTAAAAAGAACTAGCTGGCATGATACATTTTTGATGAGAAAAAATTGTTAGTTGTTAAAATTCCTTAAATGCTAGGCAATATTACATTTTCATAAATATCTGGTTACTATTAGCTCTTTTGTGAAAAAAAAACAGCAAAGAACTATGCAAATAACCAAAGTGTGTCAACAACATTTGTATTAGTTGCAAAAAGGTACTAATTTATTAGTTTTGTATCTATATTGAGAGCATTCACATCGAGAAAAGCCGAGGTCTAGCAAGGCCGAGACCTAAATATGGCGGACCTACATGAAAGGAAAGCCGTGTAATCCTTTAATGGTCTCTAAGTGACATTCAGTGACATGTGAATGCTCTCATTGTTAATTAATGTTATTCAGAAATTAAAGATGTTAATATACTATTGTTAATCTGTTAGTGTTCATCAACAAGTCAGTTCAAAAACTGATATTTAGTCAGAATGTTGTAGTAGAAGCCCCAAAAAGATATTCATGATACTTCAATTCCTGATCTTCTCATTTTTTTTTGTTACAATAATTCTTTTTTCGGGGATAGGGGGGAGGGGGGGTAACCCAAAAACAGTAACTAAAATCACATACTTGAAGGGATGTATTTTTACTGCATGCATAATTTGTTCTTTGAATTCCTCAAGCTTAAAACCAAATTATTCGTAAACAAATCTTGAAATGCTTTTACCTGCATTGGAGGGAAAGCCAGTCCCACAGCAAAATTAGCCGTCCAGTTGGTCAACACACCGAAACTGACCGCAGCTGCACGAGGCCCCTGGGAGAATAGCTCTGCCACAATCATCCATGGAATAGAGCCTGACAAAAGAGACGAGAAGTATTTTTTGTTATCCCAAATGCCAATGACAAATTAGTTAAAAGGCAACATTATTATTTAAAATGGCAACGATCAATCTTGGAATAAAATGGAGCTAAAAAAGAACCTGATTTTTACAGGTTAAGATAGGGATAAATAATCTACGGCTATTGTTATTTTGATTTTATTTCTTCCCAAATATGCCTACCTGGTCCTAGGGCAAAGAACACAACAAAAAGCAGCGCACTGGCCACACTAATATAGCTGAACCATTGCACTAAATTCTGAAAATTTAAATCATAAAGCATTATTGACTACTGCAGGCACACAAATGAACACCGAGATGGTTGTTTTAATGTCTGATTTTGGATATTTACACCCAAAAATATGACACTATTTTGAACAATACGGTTAACTTAAGGTTTGTTTTATTTTTTTACAACTGCCTAAAAAAACTTTCCTAAACAAAATTTGGCTCAATTCAAAATTACCTTATACTAGCCTTAATGTCAAAAAAAACTTGAACATTTGTGCACACTTAACATATTATTACTTCTGAATCAATAATTATAATTACAATAAAAATGATAAGCATCTACTTATTTTATCACATTTTTCTCAGAAACACTGAACCTCAGAATATTTACCTGTAAAGCCATGCTGATAGTCAATAATATTCCCAGCACTAACATCCCTAGCAGACCAATCAAGTGGAGTGTCCGGCGTCCAGCTCGGTCCATCAAGGGGATGGTCACAAAGGTCATGATGACCATTATTCCACCCACCCCCACCGTCAGGTAAGAGGCAAGTTTCTGATCATCAATACCTGCTTCTGTAAACAGGCTTGTTGAATAGTAGAACACCTGTAAGGTGTAACATTGTGAAATTTAGAAACTATATCATATTATATTATATTAGAATAAGGGTTTCAATTTGTCCTGAGCAAATGAAAAAGAAAATGAAGTTATTTCCCTTGCAGTGCTTACCAAGTATCACTATGTGAGATGCCAAAAAATTTTCAATTTTGTTGCCACCACTCAATGGGAATGTTATAATTTTAAAAAGAGATTGAAAAAATAACAGGATTTGTAAAATCTACAATTTTCCCCCTTTGAAAAGATCACGTCACTACCATAATGCAATGTCTGTTTACTTACGACAAGGATGCCAGACAACTGTTGCGAGAGATGCATCACCACACTGACCAGCAGAGGCTGACGTAATGTGGCAGTCCTGAATAACTGAATCAAGTTCATCTGAAAATTCATCAATGATATATGGTTCTAGAAATATTAACATAATTATATCATATAGTATTTCTTATTTTTAATTTACTGTTTTGCAAAAAAAAAGGTTTCTTTCTTAAAACAACATTTGTACCAATCATGCCAGATATAACTTATATCAAATTCTCCTATTGATGAGCTATGAACATACATAATCTGCTGTCAGACCTTTTCATAAATTTACCCAATTTAATTACTTCACCTATATAACAATTATTGGTTTGCTCCATTTTACCTTAGCTTCTTTTTCTCCCGCTTTCTTTTCCTGTCTCATCTCCTCCATCTCTTCCTCCACTTCCTGAGAGCCTCTCAGGGCAACAAGTGCTGAAACACGCAAGACACATTTTATCAACCTTTGTATTAGCATAATGGAGTAGCTGAACAATCCGGCAATATTCTTATTATATAATGACTACTGTTCAACATGAATATTTCCGTCAAGCAGTGGTTATAGAAAAAAGTTATTCAGTGCAGGATTTTCCCACTTATTTTTCCAAGAAAAAAAAAAGCAATTTTCTCTTACTCACAAATCAATACTGCTCCCATTACCAAGAACATTTTGTGCCATCACTAATCAAAGAACTTAGTTTTATACAAAGCACGTCTCATTCAGATGGCCATCCATCTACCCCGCATTTCATAAGACAAATATTGCATAGAATCAGGAATGACGTCATATAGTATTAAAGGGATCACTTTCTTTTATGAGATGCCAAGTTCTAAAGCTCAGAAGAAAATATCGGCATCAGGCATGCTTCAGATCAACTTCTTGTTTTGTGGGAGGGGGGTGGAGGGGGGGTTGTTTTACTGTCTGAATTAGGTTATTAAGCTCAAAAACATGACTAGGGGGTAGTTTCAGATGCAAACAAGACATATTTAAATGCTAGGATTCTTGGGCTGTGCTTGTAGCTATAAATATAAAAATAATGTAATGTAAGTTAGGAATACCTACCGTCTCTGGCCTCTTTCTCTTTACTCTTATCAATTAAAAGATGGCGCGGGCTAGCTGGACAGAGAGGCAGCGTCAGTAACTGTAAGACTGCAGGCGCACCAGTCAGTCCTGTGTGAAGTTGTAAACAAGATTAGAATGCCTAGTTTGAATATTCCAGTAGAGTATCATTTTAAACCATGAGCATGTGCAACTGCAAAAAAATCTGTTTTTCATCTATACTTCATGAATGAGGCCCACATCAGTCTAGAGCATTTTTAAAAGAGGCGATACCACTCGTGATGGATTAGGCAAATAAAAACACGGCATAAAAGACAAGAAGATCTTTATGCATTATATATTACAAGTTTTCAATTTTGCCTGATTGCATGATTCCAGGCCAAATCAAAGGTACATTCAGTGTACACAAACAATATAATACAATCATACTCAAAATATTTACTTAAACCAGATGCATCCATCATACAGATAACACACACACACACACACACACACACACACACACACACACACACACACACACACACTTCAGTACCTAGTAATATAGGCCATCCTGTAACATTGCCAAGAATTTCTGGGATCCCCAGTATCTGTGAGACCAGGATGCCTACAGTGACCCCCAGCTGGTGAAGTGTGCCCAGGGCACCTCGCAGGTTGGTGGGAGCTACTTCGTTGATATACATTGGGACCAGCCCAGTGAACAAACCTGAATAAATAAGAGTTTTTTTTTGTATCAATCAAAGCTACCATACTGAAAAAATTAATATTGCCCTTTAAAATCATTACTTTTATAATGTTATTTGATTTTCTTAAAAAATGTATAAATTTTGTTGACATTTACCCTTACAATGATTAAATTCTACCAAACATAAGCAAATGAACCCTTTCATTGATCACTCTCCATTTCAAGATCTATGTGAATTTCTATGCATATTTCTTTTTACAAAAAATAAAAATAAAAAAATAATAATAATATATTAATTTTTTAATCCAACCTGTGAGCATGATCAAGATCAATATTTTAATCTTCTCTACTTGTGTTACTTGATTATGTCACATTTGTTGTGTTAAATGTACAACATTCCATCCTACATACCACAACTTAATCCCACAACCAGGCGTCCTACGATTATCATTTCATAAGACTTGGCCACTTGACTTGTGCCCATCAGAGCTGCTCCGATAATTGTGAACACATTACACAGCAGCATGCCGATCTTCCTAACAAAAAAATAGTCAACCATTTGATATATGTTGGATGAGAGAGAGGGAGTGAGATGAGAGAGAGAGGAAATGGAAGGCATTAAATGTCTGTTTAAGACCAATTCAAAATAGGGGACGAACAACTCCGAGGATCAAATATGGCCACCCACTACAAAGTTTGCCATCTAATCCACTAATAGACACCGAATAGATATCCCATGGGGAAGTATTCAAGTGGGTCGGCCATATCTGACCCTTCGGACCAGTTATATATATATATATTAGTCCCTTATACTGAATGGGGACTAATAGAGTTTCATATAGACAGGACTTGTAATTGTATCTGAGCTCCTTACCTCCCAAATACATGTGACCACCACCCTGCTAGAACGCCCCCTGTCATCCCACCCACGGCAAAGATGGCGACTGCGAACCCCCAGATGATGGACTTTGTCCCTTCTTCCATGATATTGCCACTTCTTTCAAGCTGAGTATAATTCATAAAATCTTCAATAATCTGGAAAAGAAAAAAAATGGAGTNTCACTGCAAATTACATAATGTAACAGCGCAACAGGCATGAAAGTCAGTTAATTGGTAGTGACACACCTGACTGCACACTTTAACATTCACAAATCTTATATGAGATCGGAGTTTTTTGAAAAAAGAACTTATTTTTACCTAGGTATACCTTCGAAACTGAAATATTCCATATTAAATGTCAAGTCTGTATTATTGTTAATCTGTTAGTGTTCATCAACAAGTCAGTTCAAAAACTGATATTTAGTCAGAATGTTGTAGTAGAAGCCCCAAAAAGATATTCATGATACTTCAATTCCTGATCTTCTCATTTTTTTTGTTACAATAATTCTTTTTTAGGGGATAGGGGGGAGGGGGGGTAACCCAAAAACAGTAACTAAAATCACATACTTGAAGGGATGTATTTTTACTGCATGCATAATTTGTTCTTTGAATTCCTCAGGTTTAAAACCAAATTATTCATACACAAATCTTGAAATGCTTTTACCTGCATTGGAGGGAAAGCCAGTCCCACAGCAAAATTAGCCGTCCAGTTGGTCAACACACCGAAACTGACCGCAGCTGCACGAGGCCCCTGGGAGAATAGCTCTGCCACAATCATCCATGGAATAGAGCCTGACAAAAGAGACGAGAAGTATTTTTTGTTATCCCAAATGCCAATGACAAATTAGTTAAAAGGCAACATTATTATTTAAAATGGCAACGATCAATCTTGGAATAAAATGGAGCTAAAAAAGAACCTGATTTTTACAGGTTAAGATAGGGATAAATAATCTATGGCTATTGTTATTTTGATTTTATTTCTTCCCAAATATGCCTACCTGGTCCTAGGGCAAAGAACACAACAAAAAGCAGCGCACTGGCCACACTAATATAGCTGAACCATTGCACTAAATTCTGAAAATTTAAATCATAAAGCATTATTGACTACTGCAGGCACACAAATGAACACCGAGATGGTTGTTTTAATGCCCGATTTTGGTTATTTACACCCAAAAATGTGACTCTGGGGCAGAAAACACTATTTTGAACAAAATGGTACATCTTTCTTATCCACACAGACCATTAGCAAAAGCTATGGTTTACTTAAGGTTTGTTGGTTTTTTTTTTTTTTTTTTAACAACTGCCTAAAAAAACTTTCCTAAACAAAATTTAGCTCAATTCAAAATTACATTACACTAGCCTTGATGTCAAAACAAACTTGAACATTTGTGCACACTTAACATATTATTAATTCTGAATCAATAATTATAATTACAATAATAATGATAAGCATCTACTTATTTTATCACATTTTTCTCAGAAACACTGAACCTCAGAATATTTACCTGTAAAGCCATGCTGATAGTCAATAATATTCCCAGCACTAACATCCCCAGCAGACCGATCAAGTGGAGTGTCCGACGTCCAGCTCGGTCCATCAAGGGGATGGTCACAAAGGTCATGATGACCATTATTCCACCCACCCCCACCGTCAGGTAAGAAGCAAGTTTCTGATCATCAATACCTGCTTCTGTAAACAGGCTTGTTGAATAGTAGAACACCTGTAAGGTGTACCATTGTGAAATTTAGAAACTATATCATATTATATTAGAATAAGGGTTTCAATTAGTCCTGAGCAAATTAAAAAGAAAATGTAGTTATTTCCCTTACAGTGCTTACCAGGTATTACTATGTGAGATGCCAAAAAATTTTCAATTTTGTTGCCACTACTCAATGGGAATGTTATAATTTAAAAAAATGATTGAAAAAAAAACCAGTATTTGTAAAATCTACAATTTTCCCCCTTTGAAAAGATCACGTCACTACCATAATGCAATGTCTGTTTACTTACCACAAGGATGCCAGACAACTGTTGCGAGAGATGCATCACCACACTGACCAGCAGAGGCTGACGTAACGTGGCAGTCCTGAATAACTGGATCAAGTTCATCTGAAAATTCATGGTTCTAGAAATATTAACATAATTACATTATATAGTATTTCTTATTTTTAATTTACTGTTTTGCAAAAAAGGTTTCTTTTTTTAAACAAAATTTGTACCAATCATGCCAGATATACCTAATATCAAATTCTCCTACTGATGAGCTATAAACATACATAATCTGCTTTCAGACCTTTTCATAAATTTACCCAATTTAATTACTTCACCTATATAACAATTATTAGTTTGCTCCATTTTACCTTAGCTTCTTTTTCTCCCGCTTTCTTTTCCTGTCTCATCTCCTCCATCTCTTCCTCCACTTCCTGAGAGCCTCTCAGGGCAACAAGTGCTGAAACACGCAAGACACATTTTACCAACCTTTGTATTAGCATAATGGAGTAGCTGAACAATCCGGCAATATTCTTATTATATAATGACTACTGTTCAACATGAATATTTCCGTCAAGCAGTGGTTATAGAAAAAAGTTATTCAGTGCAGGATTTTCCCACTTATTTTTCCAAGAAAAAAAAGCAATTTCTCTTACTCACCAATCAATACTGCTCCCATTACCAAGAACATTTTGTGCCATCACTAATCAAAGAACTTAATTTTATACAAAGCACGTCTCATTCAGATGGCCATCCATCTACCCCGCATTTCACAAGACAAATATTGCATAGAATCAGGAATGACGTCATATAGTATTAAAGGGATCACTTTCTTTTATGAGATGCCAAGTTCTAAAGCTCAGAAGAAAATATCGGCATCAGGCATGCTTCAGATCAACTTCTTGTGGGAGGGGGGGGTTGTTTTACTGTCTGAATTAGGTTATTAAGCTCAAAAACATGACTAAGGGGTAGTTTCAGATGCATACAAGACATATTTAAATGCTAGGATTCTTGGGCTGTGCTTGTAGCTATAAATATCAAAATAATGTAATGTAAGTTAGGAATACCTACCGTCTCTGGCCTCTTTCTCTTTACTCTTATCAATTAAAAGATGGCGTGGGCTAGCTGGACAGAGAGGCAGCGTCAGTAACTGTAAGACTGCAGGCGCACCAGTAATTCCTGTGTGAAGTTGTAAACAAGATTAGAATGCCTAGTTTGAATATTCCAGTAGAGTATCATTTTAAATCATGAGCACATGCAACTGCAAAAAAATCTGCTTTTCATTTATACTTCATGAATTAGGCACACATCAGTCTAGAGCATTTTTAAAAGAGGCGATACCACTCGTGATGGATTAGGCAAATAAAAAGATGGCATAAAAGACAAAAAGATCTTTATGCATTATGTATTACAAGTTGTCAATTTTGCCTGACTGCATGATTCCAGGCTAAATCAAAGGTAACTTCAGTGTACACAAACAATATAATACAATCATACTAAAAATATTTACTTAAACCAGATGCTTCCATCATAAAGATAATACACACACCTACATGCATGATTTTACACACACACACTGCAGTACCTAGTAAAATAGGCCATCCTGAAACATTGCCAAGAATTTCTGGGATCCCCAGTATCTGTGAGACCAGGATGCCTACAGTGACCCCCAGCTGGTGAAGTGTGCCCAGGGCACCTCGCAGGTTGGTGGGAGCTACTTCATTGATATACATTGGGACCAGCCCAGTGAACAAACCTGAAAAAAAAAAAAAAAGATACTAATATATATATATATATATATATATATATATATATATATATATATATATATATATATATATATCAAAGCTACAATAGTGAAAAAATTAATATTGCCTATCAAAATTGTTACTTTTATTATTATTTGATTTTGTGAATTTTGTAAAGTCAAAGCAAACTACCTTTACAATGATAGAGTAATTTACAACATTTATTAAAATGAACTTTTTCATCAATCATTCTCCATTTCAAGATCTCTGTGGATTTCTATACAGATTTCTTTATACAAAAAAAAAAATAATAATAATAATAAATAAATAATAATATTTTTTTAATCCGACCTGTGAGCGAGACCAAGTTCAATATTTTAGTCTTCTCTACTTGTGTCACTTGATTCTGTCACATTTGTTGTGTTAAATGTACAACATTCCATCCTACATACCACAACTTAATCCCACAACCAGGCGTCCTACGATTATCATTTCATAGGACTTGGCCACTTGACTCGTGCCCATCAGAGCTGCTCCGATTATCGTGAACACATTACACAGCAGCATACCAATCTTCCTAACAAAAAAAAAAAAAAAAAAAAAAGTCATCCATTTGATATATATTATATGAGAGAGAGAGAGAGAGGGAGGGCATTAAATATCTGTTTAAGGCCCCACTCAGAATATGGGACTTACTAGTCCATGGGCCAAATATGGCCACCCACTACAAAGTTTGCCATCTAATCCGGTAATAGACACAGAACAGATATCCTGTGATGAAGTATTCAAGTGGGACGGCCATATTAATTAAAATTAACTAGTTAGTCCCCTATACTGAATAGGGCTAAATAGAGATTCATATAGACAGGATTTGTAATTGCACCTTACCTCCCAAATACGTGTGACCACCACCCTGCTAGAACGCCCCCTGTCATCCCACCCACGGCAAAGATGGCGACTGCGAACCCCCAGATGATGGACTTTGTCCCCTCTTCCATGATATTGCCACTTCTTTCAAGCTGAGTATAATTCATAAAATCTTCAATAATCTGGAAAAGAAAAAAAAATGGAATTATTTATCAAATACAACATCAGTTAATTTAAAATATACAATATGACAACTATACAGATTTGAGGATATTTCACATTTCTTTTATTATTCTCTCTCTCTCTCTCTCTCTCT